CATTAGCACCTCTAGTAATATATTTACTGAGAAAAATGGTGACGTGTTCAATACTTATTTTACCTGCTGTATTTCAACATAAACAATAGTCCAATCAGGCTTATTCTTTTTTGACTGATTTAGGAAATATTAAGCAAAACAGGAAGGAGTTGACAACTGTCGAAGGGAGTGCTATGTTTGGACAGCAACACTAAAAAGGAAAAAGAGGGTTGGGGGATTAAAGGGGCCAGCAGGGACTGTCAAAAGGTCAGGTGAATAAARAAGAAATGCTTACTTTAATCAGGTTTAGTCTGTCATACTGAAAGGAAATGAAAGAAAACAGCAAGAGTTAATCAAAGCAGCGAGGGACGTGRACACAGACAGAAATGGAAAATGAGAGAGAAGATATTTGTGGCGGAGACGACTCTCAGCTGCATGATACAAAAGAGATTCTGTGGGTGAGCAGACGTTGAAAAAGTCGGTGCTTGACTGAATTTGACTCCTCATCGAACTGGTGCATTACATGAGAAGCCTGATTGATTTTCGCTGCAGCATCGACACTGCTGTCATCCTGAATCCATTCTCGCAGAGAGCCACGGGCCTCACTGGTTCTGCTGGCTGTACTCTCATTTGGATTGCATTAGGGTTAGGATGATCAAGCTCACGTTGCTGCGATGACCTCATGCTCTTTGGGTCATGTGACCACTGTGCACCAGAGAGATTTACTGCGGCAGGACAGCTTGGACCGTGGCACAGAAAAGAGGCATGATGTAATCAATGTGTGTGTGTACATGTGTGAAACAGATTACCCAAAGACTGCCATGAGGGCACTACTTTCACCAAACTCTCATTAATCTGGTCATTTAGTTTGGTTAGACCAGGGGTCTGCAACCTACGTCTCTGGGGCCACATGTGGCTCTTTGGTCATTCTGCAGTGGCTCTTTGAAAATGTGACCAAACATAACAGATTTTTTTGTTTGTTTTTATGCCCACAACAGAAATCAATTTGTATGCAAACATCTGATCACTACTAGTAAAACAAAAAGTAAAACATGTTAGCTCATGCTAGCCTGTTGTTTACTTAAAGATT